ACTTAGTGGGGCGAAAATGCCCAACTCCAGGACTAAGTGCTATAGACTGAAGAAGAGTCAACATGAAATGTGTTGTCCTATTCGTTTTCAGTTCGAAACACCGGCAGAGACCAGAAAATTCATCCACTCCCAACACAGCCTATCGCAAGCCAGCAACTACAAACTAATAAAGGTTGCGGTGGACAAGACAGTCATAGAAAGGCGCGCATACAATTATGTCACAAAGCCTTATTGTGGGAAAAATAATAGGACATTGCAAGCAGCAATTATACCCAACCCTTTCAGAGATACCGTAGAACCCACCGCACCACCCCTCTCAAACCACGCAGAATTATCCTCCCAGAGAGCGGCACCAACCGTAAGGCCACTAAATTGTAATCAAATAGCTAATAAAACCATACCACCTATCACCGTAGATATAGACATGTCACTAAATAATCCCAGAAAAAAGTCAAAGCCCCCCGAAAGTCGACCCTGTCCTCTCCTAGTCATTAGTCCTTTGGTAAAAAGAGGAAAATATGACCCAAATCATGCCAACAACAACAATGGCAGTATAAATAAGCCCACAGTTCCCACGGCTAATAGAATTAGCACTCACAGCTTGCGAAAATGCACCATGGCACACACTGATAACCAACGTCACAAAAATGCCACCTTCAATAGTACAAGCGACAATAGTGAGAACTCGACCACCAACAACTCAGGGTATACACAGTATGGCACACAAATTAATTTTGATCGGATATATGGTACAAGTTTCCTGGGAACTTACCCACCAAGTGGTACACACGAAACCCATACAAGGACACAACTAGCATCAAACCATCGGTGGAATATTATACCATGGTCATCACAACGACATATGCAGCAGTTTCTCCCTTGGTAAACCATTCATCTTTGCAGATGATCTGAAAGTAGCTTACACATTCCACCGTGATGACTTAGGATACTTTCAGAAAGCTGTTCAGGAAGAACTAGATAGAGTAACTGCATGGTCCTCCACACGGAACCTAAAATTCAGCCTTAAAAACTGTGGTTGGGTCTGCTTCGGTGCACCCTCAATAAATATCAAACTGGTACTTGAATCTATTGACTTGTCTAAACTCCAAAGTGTTGTTGACCTAGGACTCAGGTACTCTAGTGACCTGACATTTTCTGAGCAAGTGGCGACACAGACGCGTAAATCGAGGATGCTCTTAGGATGCATACTCAGGAATTTCCACAACTACGAAGCGAAACTATTATTATATAAAACTTGTGTCAGACCACTACTTGAATATTGTCCATTTATTCTCAGCAGCAGTCGTGTAAGTGACAAACTTAAAATAGAAAGTGTCCAACGATACTTCACGTCTAAACTACTAGGATTTGACTGCGAAAAGGACTACACATCAAGGTGTATAACTCTAGGTATCGACCCACTCTGGATGAGACGACTCAGCATTAACCCAACATTCTTCTTTAAAATCTTGCATAAAACATCACTCTCAGACAGTAAGGAGATACAGTTCTCACCGGAAGGCTCCTACAACCTGCGTAACCAAACGTGCACAGTATCTGGGAAAAGCTGTAAAACAGCACTCCGTGCAAACTTCTTCGTAGTCATGTACTCTAAGATCTGGAACAGTTTACCCCTAGAAATAAGGACCTGTCACTCTATTATAAGCTTCAAACGCTTGCTATATAAACTGTTTCATCTTAATGACTATGCCAATCACACCGCACCACTTATTTCTAAAACGCATCAGCTATTAGAACACTATAACGCTTAGACTCATTACTAAATATTATGACACAAATAAACTTTAAGACTTCGCAAAAATACATGAGAGAACAACTAGATTATAGGTAGTGTTTACTATACAATGATGTACATTTATAAACATTTATATATACATAAAATATTAATGTTCTTTTCATGTTCACACAGTTTCTCTTTCTGGGATTCTGTTGATGAGCCTACTCTTCTATTTACCACCTGGTCTAGGTCTAACAACACTGCATTTCAACTGAAATGAATATGAACTCCTGATCATTTGAGTAAATTCATACTCAAATTCCATGAACGATCCGATGCTACCATTTGAAAACGCTGGCCAACATTCTGTACAAGGAGTATTCTTGATCTGAAATAAAGAAGCAACTGGTTTTCAAACAGTTTTCAATATGTTACTCAACTAACATGTACAGTCTGTCATGCAGACACAAATGGCGCCAATGTATAGTTCTAGAATCGACGTTGGCCCCATTTGATGCAGTAAAACAATCCAGCATGCTCTTATCTAGTTTTCTTATCCACGATCAAATTTCTTTACTGTTATAAAACTACCATAAGACTGCTGAAAAAATGGAATAAATACATCACTGACCACAAAATAATACATCAATAAACTTTAACTCAAGGATGCTGATCCCAACAAAGTTGTGTAGGAGAATTGACTTCAAGCTTTATTTTTCCCAGATATTTGTATCACATTCATCTGATGTCTGGGTTTTTGTTAATGCGAAGACAATATTTCTATATCTCTTTATGTGTTACACAGACAGGCTATATTGCAGACTGTTCCGACTGACTCTAATGTCAGAAAGAACAACCAAACTGTAAATTCAGCATACATCGAAATATGTGTAATTTATATAATAACTTATCCATGCCTTTAAAATTGGTATGTTCCTGCATAAACAGGAATAAATATATATGCTTTCCTTGATGATTCTTTACAGTGTCTTAATTAATGTGCTGTTGAGACTGATAGGCCTGTAATTTGAAGGGCTCTGTCTTGATCCTCCTTTGTGGATGGGGGTTACTATGGCGTCTTTCGAGTCACGCAGTAACACCCCATTTTGGAGAGAAAGCTTGAAGATCGTAGTCAAAGTGCCGGTTATGGGGGCTGATAGCTCCTTGGATGAAGATTATCAGGACTCATTGATTCCCTTGTATCTAGTCTTCTTAGGCAGTTGAGCACGATGCCTTGGTCGATGTCAACGGAATCTATCCCATGTTCTTCTGATGCAGCCAGAGCTGATTCTATAGGCAGTGACGACTCCTGAATGAAGACTTGAGAGAAGTAGTTTGCCATTGCTTCTGCTTTTTCTTGATATTCTTCGATTGTATCATTGTCAGTAGTCAGGTTTGGGACACCATTAGATGTTTTATTCTTGAAGTTTATGAACGAGAAAATTTTCTTAGGTTGTTCCGTTGCATTTTAAGCCAGGTATGCTTCGAATTTCATCCTCGATTGGCGGACTTCTGCAATAGCTTTATTTCTAACAGTGTTATATAATTGCCTGGTCTCAGAGGTCTCAAGTGTGGTAAACAAGTTCCAACATTTGTGTTTACGTCAGAGTAACTTACGAATCTCTCGGTTTATCCAAGGAGGGCAATGTTTCCGACCCTTTGGGACAGACCAAGGGATGAAAGGTTCAGTTACTTGGGCTGAATGTATCAGTTACTGAGTTGGCTGCTGAGACGATCGCATTTATATCAGCTTTATAAACGTTTGGTCGAGCTGGGGTTTCTACACTTGCTGCTGTTGCTATGATCTTGAAAGTGATGATAGCCTGATCCTTTAAGAATATGAGAGTTGCTTAGAATAGCATCCCCCTCTTCTTCAGAGTTTAGTACGACTTTTAGGATACTTACAGGCTGACTTACTGTAGAGTCAGGCTTTTGGCCCATTCCATATACGCTATGTATAGTAATGCCTGATACTGTTTGTGGCAGTAGCTTGTCTAAAGGTGGCCTAATCAAGTTAAGGTCATGCTCAAATCTAGTCTTGGGATAGGGGGCCAGTGACTCTTACACTTTGTGGAGAATGAGCGATCTCTCAGAGAGATCAGGTTTGCTTGCCGTGGCTTTCTTGCTCTGCGGCGTAAGTGTGTTTCTGTCTTTCGTGGGCAGTGTAGCCAATGTGTTATCCTTATCTCGCTTTTTGCCAGAGACTACGTTACGCCATTCATTGGCGTTCTCCTCGCTAATCGTAGTAGGATTTATCTGCCTGCTACTCACCGGTGCGGATGAGGCTTGATCCACTAGTCCCTGGGCGACTTTAGTTGCCGGTTTTCGACCCCTGGTACGCTTCTTCATTGCGGCAGTCTTTCCATTACTGTCACTGGAGGGCTTATCTAGTATCGTGGGGGCAGCCAGGATGTCTGGAATGTGGTGAGTGCTCTTCTGTGCTGAAGGGCACGGAGACGCAGCGGGGACATGTGCTGTTTTGTCGATGACAATAGTCACGTCATCGTTGTCTGAACAATAGTCGTTGGTCTCCTGTAGTGGAGGACGCTTGTAGTCCATGGGCTTTAAAGCCCCACTGAGAGTGGCAATGGCTTCTGTAATACGGAATTTGGTAGCACTACAAAAGTCATTGCACAACCAGTTTACTAGAGGTTTGCAGCAGCGTTTGTATGCTGCAGGAGTTAGGTTTGTGCACATACTGTGAAACCATCTCTTGCAGTTATCACACTGCATTCCCTCATCCACTGGGAATTGGCACATAACCCTTCCGCAGCGGTTTTTCTGGTGGGCAAACTGTCTAGAGCGAACTAGGGAAGAAATTTAAATATGACTTTAAATGTATATAGACCTTTATAAATCAGTGATAAAAACCAATGAGTGCACAAATATATATATAAATATATAACTATTATGTTATTAGACACAACTTCCTATAATTTAAATAGACTCAGATATGAAAAGTAAACTAACCTTGATCAGAATAAACTGATTTAAAGTTATTCTGTAGACTTCTGGAGCGTATAACACAACAAAAGCCAAAACTAAACAAGAGCCTGTAAAATTCACTCCCTTTTCAAAGTGATAATGAGTGCTAACCAGTTTATGCAAGCTCATAGCCAAAGTAACAAATGTTAAACAAAATATACGTTCAATGTTAGTCATGATCATAGCATCAGTTTTTAAAGAAATTACTAAAGGAATGCAGGCTGTGTTTTTGTTTTAACTATTCACACTTCTGCATACTCTATATACCGCATTATTCAACAGGTATTAAACAAGGGTAGAAATATTTATGACGAAAAACATTTTACTGGCTAAACTCTTGGTGTGATATTGAGATAAATATTCAGAGTGATCTTGAGTATTTCAGTGCTGTAAGCAAAGTATTCCATTTAGAGTTTTTAAACATATATGAATTCCTTAAGATTAGTAGTATTACGGTATGTTATAAAAAATATTCGTGCTAATGTACGTATTAGCTACAATTCCGTGACTGATAATTTTTGCCTTTCGAAACAGTCAATGGTGTTCATCTAATTCTCACCGGTTTTTTTGACCAGAACTAGGTTTTCTTTTTTCCTTTGTTAGTGATTTTATTCATGAATCTGTCTATATAAGAAATCCCTTTGGTTTAAAGCACTGTCTAGATGCGTGTTATTGGGGGGTAATTTCGTTTGGAAAATCTACTCAGTCGTTTTTGTGCAACATATCGTTTTACTTGTCTTCGCATATTAGCCTAAATATGTAATGACCTGTTGTTTTACAGGGAATATATTTTTTTTAAAGATAGTTCGTCAAGCTTTACGTGGTCCTTAATTTGAGGTTGAAAAATAATAATATTGACATTATTGTTAACAATAATGTCCAAATTTGGAAAACCATGAATGATACACTAGAAATCGAATTTCCGCTGCAACATGATTTCCTATGAATTTGTAGGAGGTTAATTCACCTTGTATCTCTGATGTTTTCACGTGAAAATCTTGAAGTGATTTAGCTCTGCCCTTCATATTTCACATCTCCTAGTGGTAACTGCTTCATAGGTTATGTATTATATACTATAAACCTCGTTAACATTAATTTTGAGCGAACAAGTATGTTATCTTGAGACCATCTTCAATATTTCTCAGTCAGTCCTTAAAAACTAAAACAGTACGTTGAGTTCCACATATTAATTAGGTTCTTCTCAGTTTATGTATCCAGTTTATGAGTTAGGAATCCTATTTATACGAACTTGCTTTGTGGTAATGACTGGATTTGGCTGATTGCTTACAAAGGGAACTCAAGATAATTTAGTTTTTCTGACTTTCATGCCTCAAGATATCAGTTACGCCCTACTATTGAGAGATGTTTAGTGCATTTATTCGTCTTGGCTGCTTTGAAATGAGCTGTTGTCAAAGTATGTGATCAAAGATTAGTCCTGGATATGACTAAGATTTGCTACAACAGCTCCAAGACTTAAATTTTAGGGTACTGCATTTCATCAAGGTGTGTTGAAATACTTACTGCTGATAGGATAACTGGTTTCAAACGTGTAGGAGCCCAACTCACAAGAGTTTAATGCCACATGGTTTTATAAAAGACATATTATTGATCAGTTTTACTAAATGAGCAATAAAACTAAATTTTCCTAAACGCCCAAAACAGATATTCATCTAACAGCGAATAATTTTGAGTGAAATTTATCCATGAACCCTGTGACTCAGTTCCTCTTGTGAAGCACTTTGTCACACCCTTCTTGTGTCTCAGTGATCATCAGGGATAGTTTTCATTATCTGTTTCGACTATAAATTGCACCAAATAAATCATCAGCCTCTACAGTTATATATACAACATTATAGTGAACGAATGAATTGGTGTTATGAACAACATTAATGTTGTTTAAATAACATCGAATCAATAATATAGATAGATTCAACAGCATCAACATAAAATAAGTTGAATGTCAGAAAAATTAGTAAAGATAATATTACATAGTCATGAGTTTATAGTTTCTACTGAAGGCCAGGGCAGTAGTAGGGGCTGAACTTGCTTCTTTTGAACACAAAGCACTGGTTGTTTGAGAGGCGAATCGCAATAGCCTCTGCTGTTTGGAGCATGCGGTGCTTCGATGATGATTTTGGCAATTTATTAGGCACCCAGTAGATGATGATGGAGAAGGATTCTTCCACCCTTTGTGGCTTTGTGGCCGGTTTGCACCAGATGGTCCAATATCATACTGGTAATGGTTTTAACTACACCTTTACTTAGCCATACTGGGAGATGTTCCCGAGTGAACACGAAAAATCACGTTCCTAGAGCAACGGCCGATATAACTCGCTCCACAAGCAGCGCAGTTGAATTGGTAGATACAATTTGAAGTGGCGAGCTAGTCAAGCTACTTTCAATTGGGGAATCATCATCGGTCATGTAGAAAATAAGACGTGTAGTTCGCCAGCATGAAATGTTCTTTGAACTGATTTTCTTAATTTCCTCGTAATTATCTCACTTGGTATATCGCCCTTGAATTTTTAAAAAACATAAGCACATCGAAGGTGTTGTAGAATTGGAAGACAGTTATGCAATAACTTAAAACTTGATGCTATCAGTAGAGTATGAATGTTTCAATGATAAAGTGCGAGAGATCCAGATTGGATTCCCGGACGACTGGCTCCTGAACCTCGTTTAGCCTTAAGGAAGCCTTGAAAAGAGGAAAGTTAGGGTATGAAGCTGGCAACCTCACTTCGTGAAGTTAGCGCTAAGTATATATCACTGGGAATAGTGGTGGAATGCTCACAGACAGAGAATACAAAAGCTCTAAACATAGATGGCAGTTTCCAAAAGTTTGGAACATTATATTTTGATTTACTAAATAATTTTGTCCGGAGACTGTTGGAATATACTGAGAGGTCTTATTTCTTCAGAGAGTAGCGTAAATTTGTCATACCTTCGGCTGGTGTCGTATGATTGATTCATCAGTTCACTTAGCTTTTACTTCTGTTTGCGGTTGTAGCCTAACCACCCACCACAACTTTAAAAACTTTTTCACATAGGCTGATAGGTCCTAGGAGAAGAGATCCACTTTTCGAAGGTAAAAACTGATGAAGAGTTCCAAGCCAGCTCCTGCTGGCTGTCCGGTGTTCCCCGTTTTTCATTGATTCTCTAACGGTTATCACTCCGTGGTTAAACTTGAAATAGATTAGTCCATTTCTTGGTAACAAACATATGTCAATGTAGATCAGTTAGAGATCGTTAAAAACTAGGGAGTACTGGACAACCGTTTCGTCCTAGCTGAGACTCGTCATTAGTGCACACCTAAAACACCACCAGGGAGCGAATCCAGGACCTTCATGTTACAAGACCAAGCTCGTTGATTGTTCAGCTACTTGAGACGGAATTTAATGACGCATAAATTCCAACTTTGAACTGATGTTGATTACACTGACGAAGTCTACATTGAAATTAATCCAGATTCTTATGAAAATCCATATTCTTAATCAGTACTTAAAGTTACGAAAATAGTTGTGTTTTAAAATATGACCCAGTTGGACAGCTTATCTCTATTTCTTTTTTTTGAATTGATTCTTTCTGTGTCTGATTCCAGCTTTGCTTTACATATATAACGACAGTGTCACTTGGTAGTCGGTTAGAATATGTTGCTTACTGCGTTTTAAACTGATAAATAATACTAGATAACTAGCTAAATATAATCATACTCCAAGCCGTTGAGTGGAACCCATATAGGAAGCGACGGGGTGGGCATTTCAGTTGGAAGTAACAGCGCTGTTGGGCCGTTGTGGAACCCTCTGAAAAAGTGATATCACAGAAGGGAGAGGGATGCAGATGTGCTCTACTGAATTCGTAACACAAAGAGTGAATGGCAATAATAATTATAATAATAATAATAATAATTCTATTGGTTTTGAAGTTTAATCACAAGTTGACAGACTTCGGTAAAACGACCAGTAGGGAGTACTGGACGGCTATTTCGTCCCGCTTTGAGACTCTTCATTAATACGCATCCATGACTCCAGTTAGTGGTATTCGATCTCAGGTGCTTCGGACTATGAGGTGAACTGGCTGACCATTGAGCCACTGCGATGGATTCCAGTCATCAGCCTATACATTCTACCTTGGTTTGGCAAAGGTCCGAATAAAGCTAGGTCATCTCATCGATAGTGGATATCAAGTTGACTCTAATAAAACTTTTAAAGTTATTTATCGTATTTCACTCAACCCTAGGCATGGTCTACGAGTACGACTATTACGTATGCAACATACTCCATCAGAATTGATCTAAACAAGCCAAAGCTGTCTGTGTTCAAAAGAAATTTGTACAATCCCTTTCTTCGCTGTGGTCAACTAGCATAATATATATTCAATTTTCTATAGTTTGGTTTGTAAGGGTTAGTTATGTTTTTACGAATTGATCACGGATTGATATCAGTTAGAGAACCATTGAAAACCAGCACTGGAGTACTGGATAGCCGTTTCATCCCCCTAGCTTGGGAATCATCGTGAGTACGCACCCACTGGGATTCGAACCCAGGACCTTCCGGTTACAAGGCAAGCTCGTATACCATTCTGCCACTGGTTGGGGTCGCACTAAATCATGAATTGGCAGAAGTTAGAATTCATGAGCCATTGAATCGGGTCCAAGTGGCTGAATGGTATACAAACTTGTTTTGTAACCCGAATTTCCTGGGTTCGAACCCCTTGTGGTGGGTGTGTACTGTCGATGATTCCCAAACTAGGTTGGAGGAAACAGCTGTCCAGTGCTCCCTGGTTTTTCAATGGTTCCCTAACTGATATCAATCCGTGATCAACTCGTAAAAAATGTTCAATTTTAAAAAACGATTTTCCCCTCCCCTTGTAAGTATCTTTTGGCTTTGATATTTATTACTTTTTATAGTTCTAGCTATTTCTATTAACTTGTTTGTATTTTACGTAATTCTTCTTAGTCATCATTGCTATTTTACAGATTTCTTGATTATGTAATAACTTGTTGCTAACGCTTATGAATTAACTTATAGTGGATTCCGTAATTAATATTCACCCCTCCTTCAAAACTTAGATATCCCTTATTACTAACATCTATTAGTTAATTGGTGTTTTGATAACTTTTTACCTCATAATTTCACCACAAACCCCCTATACCTAAAAGTGATTAACTGAAATAACCCCTTGGTTGGTAAAAATGTTTGATTTAAAAAACTATCTGTATTAGTGTAGAGCCAGCCAGCCAGCCAGCCGATGATGAGGAACTAATTGAAGTAAAGGAATACATTTCCTTGCACAATTTGCCGATTATTTGTAACTGTGTAAATCAGATATTTAAAACCTCTAGTTTCTGTCAATTTCTGCAACGTCCCGTCATTGTCGTCGGCAAGTATTTATTTATCTTCGACCCTTTGCGGGTGGTCACAACTTTCCACTAGAACTGCAGTCACTAATGAACTGAAAAGTCACCAAGCAGGCGTCAAAACATCTGTGCAGTAATTTGATTGAATTTTCGATTTTCCCGTCGATTGATTGGACCGAAGTGCTCGATCTCAGGTTGACATGTCATCTTCTTGTACAGATGCTTTGACGATGTCTGGGCATTTAATTAGAATTTAACTGGTGGATGGTAACTAGCAGTGGAATCCAGGATGCCCATGTCGTACTATTTGGGACTTGTCGGTAGCTGGATGTACCTGCATTCCACAGTGAGTAATGATTTTCCGGATGACGAGTCCCAAATAGGACGAAATGCACATCCTGGATTCCACTGCTAGTTACCATCCACCAATTAAATTCTAATTGAATGCACAGACATCATCGAAGCATCTGTACAAGAAGCCGACATGTCAACCTGAGACCGAGCACTTCGGTCCAATCCATCGACGGGAAAATCTAAAATTCAATTATATTAACATGACCCGTTGCACAAGAGGTGGCTCTCGTTGCCCAAGTGGTCTAGTGGATAAAGCTTTGGCGTTTGAAACTATAGGCAATGGGTTCGAGCCTCGGTGGGAACATCATCACTCAGTGACTGGGAAATGCAGGCACATCTAGTTGACGAGTCCCGAATCGGACGAAACGCGCATCCTGGATTTCACTGCTAGTCACCATCCACCAATTAAATTCTGTGCAGTAATCTCTAGTTTTCAATAGTTCACCGAGTAATGTCACTCATAGAGTCTGTTTGTCATTGGACTTCAAATAAGATATTAATAATTTTGTATGAATAAATGATGCATAATCAATATAGAGTTGTACTCATTTATTTATTTATTTTTTCTATTTTCAGCTTTCAAATTTCGCCGTCAACTCTTTTTCCCTCTCTCTCTCTCTCATTCTCACTGTCAGCCTGTTGACCTGCTCATGTAGTGATAGTGTGTTAAAAATCGACATTAGCAGCACAGTTCCAGTCAAAGTGTGTGTGTAGTCTTGCATTTTCTCATCATTTTCAAAATTAGAGAGATGTGGAAAGAGTATGTCAATATTTCGGAATTTTTTATCATGTATTTCCACTGAAAATATCACCTGGCCTTTTGTGAATAATCCTCTACGAACAGATAATAGTTATCATAGTAATAATAACAATAATAATAATTATAATACATTTCCTAAAAATTCATGTATTATATGCCATGAATCAGTAGATACATGTTTACGTAATCAATCAAGTAAATGTCATAGACACTCATTTCGTCTACTGGATACAACACGGAGAAAAAGTTTAAAAGCAAGTAAACAATCCATAGAAAGTCAGTATAAAATTAAAACAACACAACCAGATACAATGACAACAGTTTGTGCTACAGGTACAGATCCAGTGAATATTCCTGTAAGTTTTATTCTGTCTCTCTCTTTGTGTGTATGTGTGTTTACATGTGTACGTTTTTCATTCATTTTTGTTTCAAGGGTTCTCCGACTAGCAGTTGCTAGCCTCGTATCCAAGGTTGCCTCTTATCTGGGCTAACTTTCAGGGCTGGTAGACTAGGCAGCAGTGTTTACGAGTGGGAATCGAACTTGTATTGACTGCTTAGACGACAGGCATGATAACCGTTATGTCACACTTGTAACGCTGTGTGTTACAAGTTGATGTTGTAGATGAGTAGTTAATTGAAAGTTTCTCCAAATTTAAAACTATTTGAAAATCTTTATTGAGTCATATAAAAGAAAAGGCTTTCTGTGAAGAGTTACTGTTTTCGGCAATATCATTCTCAAGCTGTACAATCTCAAGATTATTATGATTATTATTATTGTATCCTTTAATTCCTAGAGGAACATAGGGCTTCAGCCACACGTCTCCATTGCGTTCGGTTCTCTGCTAGAGTCTTCACCTGGCTCCATGTCTGCCCACACGTTTTCATCTCCTCTTCACATGACCTCCTCCAAGTCACCCTTGCACTGACGACCAACTCGCCGCTTTCCTTTCGGGTTCCACTCGAGCGATGGCTTGTCTAGTGATGTCACTTGATGGCTTGTTTCCTCAGAGTATGGCCAATCCATCTCTATTTCTTCCTGCCTATTTGCTGCACAATCGGTTCCTGGTTGGTTCGCTCCCAGAAATCTCTGTTGCTGATCTTTTCTGGCCGGCCATCTGATCTTGAGTATTGAGCGAGGACAACTGTTATTGAAGGTCTGTAGTTTGTTTGAGATGCTTTTTATGACGCGCCATGTCTCTGATCCGTATAGTAGCACTGACTTCACATTGGAGTTGAAAATCCGGATCTTATTTTTGATGCCGAGAGTTGTTGACCTCCACACAGACTTGAGAGTAGTGAAAGCTTGTCTTGCTTTTCCCAATTCTTGCTTCGATATCCTCGTCAGCCCCGTCCGCCTGTAGCTGAAACGATGCTTCCCAGGTAGGTAAAAGAGGTTGTTTCTTTCGGGTTCCTCCCATTTATGCTGATTGTTGTCTGTTGTTGTTGTTGCTGTTGATGCTGTTGCCCGGGAATCTTCATCACCTCTGTCTTCTCTATGTTCACCTGAAGTCCTATCTTTGATGCTTCTTCTACCAACTTGTTACTTTTCGCTTGCATATCTTCTAGTCTGTGGGAAATCAGACATATATCATCGGCGAAGTCCAGATCCTCCAAGTTTTTTGTGTGCGTCCATTTTATGCCTGTTTCCTCATTGCCTGCCGCTGCTTGTCGCATTATCCAATCTACTGCAATCAGGAAAATCATTGGCGATATGTCATTAGAATTGTAAATCTTAGCTAACAAATTACGTAATGTAGAAAGCGTAAATCAGGTAGACCACCTAAACCGCCCAAACTTTAAGCTCCCTAATAGTGTCTCTACTGGAATCTACAATTCAACAGAGACTCATCAGCAAAAATACTAAGAAACCGCCTGCCCCGCTCATTGAAGAAAACCTTCTCCGCGGACGAACTTCAGATAACTTTCTCTAGGGAACCAGGGGGGGTATCGTACATCAGCAATACTCACCCACTGGGTTTTAAACCCAGGGCCTCCCAGTTACAAGGCAAGCTCATATACCATCTAACCACTGGGACCCGACGGAGTGGTCTTCAATGTTTCTCTAGCTGATATCAACCCCTTGGTTGAACTTGAAAAACAAATCGAATTTTTACAAATCAACTCTTGAAAATTATGCTTGTCATCCGTATTCTACGCGCTTTCACCTATCAAGTGATTTAGTAAAACAAATACCCCATAGTGTTCAAAATTCAATTTCAACTAATTGTAATTTATAATAATAATATGCTTCAATAATTCTGTTTTGCTTTTCGGTTATCTGGTAAAAGATGAAAGTAAGGCAGGAGGAGAAACACACAGTAACCAGGAAGTGTTAAAATAGCATACTACCGGAATCAATAAAAAAGGGTGTTTTCTATATTTTTTTCTCATTTACTGTTCTTGTCATCGACAGAGTTACTCATAAATATTAGTAATAATAATAATAAATAATATGAGATGATATCAAACAACAAGCGATAATCATAAGCTAATTAATTATCTTGTAATTAATTCTCATGCATATTTATTATTGTTTAAATTTCCACAATAACAATAATGATAATAACGATAATTCTTTTGGGTTCTGTGTGGAACATAGCGCTTTCTTGGCAGATTTCCGTTTCACTCCATTCTTTGTAGTCGTTTCTTTTTATCTAGCTGCATTACTGACCAATAGCTCTTAGCTTTTCTTTACACGAACTCCTCCAAGTCATTAATCGATCGACGCCCAACTCGTCATCGCCTCATTCAGGTTCCATTTGAGGGTTTGGCTTGTGATACCACTCAACAGTCCACTTAGTGCTTGTCCAGTCCGTCTCTATTTCTTTTGGTATATTCATTGAGCAGTAGGTTCTTGCTCACAGTCGGCTGTTACTCATCCGTCCTCTTTGACCATCAGATCGTCATTATTGAGTGAAGGGGATAGATGTAGATAAACGTCCATGGTGACCTGTCTTCCCTATCCAATCCTGACTGGCTTTGTGTCATCCTCATCCATGGGGCCGTTTGTTGTTGAAAAAGTGCTGCTTAGATAAGTTGAAGTGGTGACCTCTTTTAAAATTCTTTCGTCCACTCGAATTCCTGCTTTCACTGCTTCTTCTACCAACTTTTTGGTTCTCGTCTATAGATTTTCGTGTTTGTCTGACATTTGACATTAGTCGTTCACGAAGGTTAGATTTTCAATAAGATTGTCAATAATGAGCTAAATGTAGGTGTTATTTAACTAATTAGTACTGAAGTTACTTGTTTTAATGGTAGTAGATAGTCCTATCTCCAGTGAGTGATGATGTTCTCATTGATACTCGAACCCAATGCACCCATCACTATCAAGCATCACAAAGTTATCTATTAGGCAGGCAAGTAGGTCACAACAGTCACCTGTTGTGTAGTGTTGCGTAATAGTCTAAAACTAATTTGTTTACGTCTGTGGTCCGTTCCTCAACCAAATCCCTACAAACCGATACTTGATAATCAATGAGATGCTCACTAGCGGCTGGCCTGGGGGGATCTTGTGGGAAGTCGTGACCAGTAGGGTGCAGCAGGTCGGGTGTGAGGATAAATACTCCCCAGCGATGACACTGGCTAGTGGTTCCGCTAAGTTGTGAATTGGCGTCGGTGGCACAGCGGTTAGGACTCTAGCCGACCATGCACATGGTCCGAGGTTCAATCTCCCGCCGATGCACACCTGATATCTATGGTCGGCCTGCTAAACTTGGGCTACTGATATCACATGCTGAAAATTTCATACTTGTACCAAAATACTGTGTGGAATCAAGCTATAATAAAAAAAGTTAGAATTCGTGAACTAGTCATTAGATCGGGTCCCAATGGCCTAATGACCTACGAGCTAGCTCGCCTTGTAACCAGAAGGTTGTGGGTTCGAACCTTGCTGTGGTGGGTGCGTGCTGTTGAAGAGTTCCAAACCAGTAGGACGATACAGCTGGCTGTCCATTACTCCCTGCAGGTTTTCCAATGATTCTCTGACCGATGTCAGTTCATGATGAAATCCTGTAACCAATCAGAGAGAAGTGGTTGAATATATCAGCAGGAAATCATAAATGTGAATAGATATAATTACTACTGATTTGAAAACACGCGAAAATTGTTGTTAATAAAGGAGGATTTAACGAATTTGGGATGTATGACTAATAAATAAATAAATACATAAATAAATAAATTCCGATGAATCATTCACACCAAAACGAAAGGTGAAAATTGCTATAAGAATAAAACTTGTGCACTGTGGTAGAGTATAATTCCATTATGGGTAAAATTTATTTTGATAAAGTCTCACAGTGGTGTTATACAGAAAGGTGAAAATATTTTTCAGGTCAAGTTCAGATGGATGGTAGGGGGGGGCGGTTGCGTGAATGGGATTGAAAATTAAGATTCTAATGGATTACCTTTCAGTTACTTCACTATAATAAGTGGTTAGTTATTCGAGAGAAGAACGCAGAGAGACAAAAGCAGCTAGGAAATGTTTGCAATTATAAGCTGAATATTCAAGTGTTGGTTTGTAGGGATTTGGTTGATTGGATACAGGATTTCATTATGAGCTGTCATTGGTTAGAGAACCATTGGAAAACCACCACTGGAGTACTGAACAGCTGTTTCGTCCTAGTTTGGGACTCTTCATCGGCACGTACCCAACAGGACTCAAACCAATGTCAGCTCATGATGAAATCCAGTAACCAATCAAATCCCCACAAACAAACACTTGAAAATCAATGAGATGCTCACTAGCCACTGGCTCTGTTCAGAGGTAGGTAGTTATCTGGGGGTTCTAGTGAGAAGTCGTGACCAGTAGGGTGCAGCAAGTCGGGCGTGAGGACAAATACTCGCTAGTGGTCGCGCTATGTCGTGAAAAGGCAGAAGTTAGAATTCATGAGTTGGCCATTGGATGGTGTCCCAGTGGCTTAATGGCCTACGAGCTGGCCTTGTAATCAGAAGGTCCTGGGTTCTAACCCGGTGGTGTGGGTGCGTACTGATGAAGAGTCCCAAACTAGGACGAAACAGCTGTCCAGTACTCCCAGATTTTCCAATGGTTCTCTAACTAATGTCAGCTCATGACGAAATCCTATAAGCTGAATAATAAGAATAACTATAACAATGGAACTGACTAAAGATAGTTTTAACTAAGTCAAGAATTATTGTAATAACAACAAATGGAATAAAATAAAATAGTAATAAGGACAGCTTAAAAAACAAAGTATATTGCCATGGTGAATTTGAAGTGTGCCTGTGGTTTGATGGTAAGATGTTCATCAACTATTCCCTTGATCTTGGTTCGACTCCCGACTGACGCAGTGATAAACCTTGTCTATATTACAAGGTGATAGTAAACCTAGAATAAGAG